TACCTTAAAAAAACTTAATATAATCTACAGAATTTGTATATATATATACACACACACACATATAATAAATATGCATAATATATGGGCAGCAACTTGTATTTAGTCGGGTCCCTACCTTAAAAGTGGAATAAAAATACGAGATTGCCCCAGCTTTCAACAAAATCACACGCGCCGTGTCCTGTTGTCTCCAAAACTTTTCAATTTTACTATTACCACTCCTAAGTTTTACTATTAACACTCTTATGATTAAAGGAAATAAAAAGTGTGGTGTCTTTTGAAATCTTATTAGAGCTGATTAAAAATGTTGAAAATACAAGACCTTGCAGGGGCATTAATGCAAAACAGATTTCATAAAATTACATGTAATACCCTCACTGGTTTTGGTTATATCTGCATAAAATTAATCCTATTATTTATTTAAACATTTATGTAATTTATTAAAACAGTTATAAATCTTGTCAATTTAAGAAAGTGTCGAATTAATTCATGTGAAATCCTTTCAGAAATTTTTTATTCGTAGTTAAATTTCAGATAAATTACAGAAATTAGTGTACAAAAATTAAAATATTTTCTATAACTAAATAAAAACTTTATCTATTTAAAAACTACTATATATATATATTATAAACATACACTTTACAACTTATTATTAAATTTAGGTGTTAAATTTAATACTAATGATAAATTTGCTACATGCCCATTATCTAATAATAAAATTACTATAATGAGTTCAATAAATTATTTAAAATGATAAGAATATGTCAAAATATTTTAAATTACTTATTAGTTGATATTGATACACATTATTTTTTCAAAATCATTTATTTAATAATTAATTAAACTATGTTTTATATGATTTTGAGTTAAATATGTTTATTGATTGTATCCGTTGAACATTAATTTAAAATGTCACCTGATACCCTAATTAAGACAAGTAATATAATAAGGGTCACGTGCCTCTGGCCATATGCACGCCTATTTATTTTATTTAAAGGGTTTATTTATTTATTGTATATTATATAAATTAATGTTTACTTTACACTAACCAAATTTTTTTATTAATAAAAAAGAAATTATTTTTTAAAAAAATTATCCATCTTTACTCATAAGAAACTAATTTAAATTATTTAAATAATATTTATCAAAAAAGTA